TTGTACACTGAGAAAAAAAATTATTTTTGCCAAGAATATTTTCTTCCCACAAGTAAATCTGGCGATCACTGTGTAAATACTCCCATAAGACTTACTAATGCTAAATATATTTTCTTGTGGTTAGTAAATATTCTTGGGTAAAGAAAATTTTTTTCTCGGTGTAATGAATTCCACAAAAATCGTATGATCCGGTCGTTCCCTACAATGTGTCCACCTAATTAAATCCGACTTGACACTCGTTATTCACGTCATCAAATGATGAATTAATTCGATTTTTCCCAGAAAAAACATAACGAGATTATACATAACTATTACCGATTTTTATATCGTCTAATTGCACGCAAGCCCTGTACGTTGTTACGCGTTACTAGGGAGATATAGGGTCGATGAAATTAAAGTTTTAATGATTCCTTCAAGGGATGCTCCCCGATGGATTGAGTTCAAACGGAAACGGGACAGCTAATGAAATTATCAATTCATAATGGATCCGTCAATTTTTATGCCTTCAGCTGAGTTAATGTACGATTTCTGCTCTCTACTCTGTTGAATCCTCATGAAATGAGATTTGGACGATTGAAATTGGCGATCGTTTGAAAGATAAGAGCACCAGGAGGGGTTAATCTTCGTAATGGACTAGGGAATATTCTCGCTTATCAAATTATACAAGAGCTTGGAGTTTGATGAACTCCACAGATACAGAATATCTACCACTTGGTGACTGATTTCAACTGCTTTCAAACATTTTTCGTGGTGAAATTGAAACGATTAGCAATGTCATTGCTATTGCAATTGTAAATATTAAAAGTCGAATGCCCATCGACGCAAACGATAAGGCCGACAAAATATGGAGTATTGCGTGCTGGAAATAAAGATACAGTCATGCAATACTGAAAACGAATTTATAACGATCGATAGTTCTGTCGTTTCTATTTAGAATGAAATGAAAAGAGAAAAATTGAAGTTTTAGATTTACCTGTGAGTGACTCGGTCACGCGATTAATTAGCAGTTGTAATTTATCCTTCTTGTTTTATTATTTTTCGCACTTTGTCCTGCCGGTGCAAACGCTCGATTGAAGCCGTGGTCTCGTCGTTATATCATATAGTTATCATATAGCCATCATATAACCATCATATAACCACGATCGGAACCACTAAAATCTCTATGTACAGTCAGATATTTTTTTAACAACTCATGCGTTTTTGTGAAAAAAAAATTCAACGGAAATTAATTGAACGCAATTGCAGTGCGCGTTCGATGAACCGTGAAGTACACTCTATATTAATTATCATTACTTAAAAGGATTACATAGGATTACGATTATGAAGTGTATAGAATTTGATTGTGAACCTCCGGTGAATTGAGTTTGATTGATTAATTAAGGATGAAAATACAAAATTTTATGGGGGATTGTTGAAAAACAGCGCGAGCTTTCCACGCGGGAGTTTTAATTTGCAGAATTGAAAATAATTGTTTTTAGGGAATGAAACTATTGGAAAATATCCAATAATTTTGAAGGATTAAGTGGCATTGGTTACTGATTATTCAAGGTTTTTTTTTATTGAGGACTAGCGTATATGGCGCGCTATGCGCGCCAAATCGTCCACGTATGGGGTGTTATCATTGGAATATATATATATATATTCACGGTTATTTCCAATATAATATATAGATATATAGAATTTCAAAAAGAAGAAAGAAAAAAAACTAAAAATTTATATTAAAAAAATTAATATTTATAAAATTAATATAATTTGTATATATATATATTATAACCATATATCTATATCATATTATATTGAAATATTGTGATATGCATAGCGCCAAAAAAAGCTGACAAAAAACGTTACATGCTTTTTTTTTAAAAGGGAATTTCGTAAAAATCGGTTGACAGCACCGACTGCTTCTTGTCTTTTTTTATTTATCAATCGTCTGGGGAAATAATTAGCGACATTGTGCAAAGATAATTTCCATGCCACATGAAGGCTTTACCTAATCGACACAGGATGTTACGTTTTGAAAAAATGCAGATCACGCAACGGTTTCTCCGGTTTTTCTCCTTCAATTCGAAAATATCAATCTTGGAAGTTGATAGACAGTTTATAATTTTAAAGTACTCATTGTAATTGAACTTTTTGAATTACGCTTGAAAAGATCATAAATTGCTAGCGATAGAGTACCGAGGGGATGGCATGACCTATTAAATTTCTTGATTCATAGGGACGTGGTTGGAAATTGCTATTTTCTTATCTTCCATACATTATTTAGGAGTCCTGATACGAAAATCGGAAACTTCAATTTTCACGATTGCCATCTTTCCGTTAGAAAGAATTCACTTGATTGCTCCCCGCAGTTAGAAAATAAATTGAAACTTCAATCTTAATTGTATTTCAGATTGTAAATTTGAAGTTTTATTTTTACTTCCATATATATATATATATATACATAGTGTTAGGAAATTATAATTATTTTTTTATATAATTTAAATTATATTATATACATTACATATATAAATATATAATTTAAATTACAATTAATTTCTTAACACTTCATGAAAATTCCACAAATCTAATAAAAATATCGAATAAAAATTCCTCTTATGTTGTTATTAAAAATCACTAGTTAATTATCCTAGTATAGTATAATAACCATTTTCGAATTAAGTAATAAGCTGAAATAAAAATTAAACAAATATGTAGAGATTGCACAATATTCTCTGAGTTTAACGAAATGGAGGGAAAAATGGGGCCAAACGCGATGGATCCAGGACTTTGGCACAAGTTAGCGTGACCTCCTCAGGGTTACCTTGTCCTACCCTCAAACCCTCTAGTCACAATCGCCAATTTTTTTTGTATTACCCCTTCCATTGATGCCTGCACTGTAATCCATTCTATCACATGCATCTAGGGAGCAACCAAATACTGAGCTCAATATCAATCGAATTCCACTGTGATATTTATGATCACATTGTAATGGAATTCCCGGAGTGACACAGATTCACTGTTGCGTCAGTCTGCAGGTTCAACATATAGGAACATCTGTCGCATTGACCTACGGAGATTTTTCCTTAAACTATTGGAACATTAACTGTAACGTCTCTATAGTACAGAGAGCCAAACGAGAAAGTGGAGATAGGGTGACAAAAGATTAATAAAAATTACTCGGGAGAATAATTCTAATTTATGAAATGTTACGTCAAAATTCTTGCCAATAATGATTATTATGAAGAATAATTAATGAATGGATATGAATTGAATGGATATGAATTGAATGAATATGAATTGAATGAATATGAATGGAATGAATATGAATTGAATGAATATGAATCGAATGAATATGATGAAAATTATATAACAAAAATACACTGAGAGAAATATTCAATAAAAATTACGTGTATTTTTCGTAATTCTGGAGCGAAATGTGGTTGTCGGAAATTTTACGGAACTATCACGTAATTTCTATCTAAAGTCACGCAATTTTTCCGCGCTGTTCCATAATTTTTATCGGAATTATCGGTGAAAAATAACGATACTGTCACTTAAATTTTTCGAATCAACTCCGTAATCGGTAAGTGAACTGAAAGTTCCGTAATTTTTACTAAGTATTTCTCTCCGTGTACCTCAGTATTCCATAGTCCTTTGGTGACAGACCAGAAAATTTAATGAATTTTTCAGATTGTTCACTTATATTTCTTGATAAATGCACCTAAAATCATTCTTTTTTATTTTGCTTGTGGATTACGGGAAATGTTCCGTAATTTTCCCCGAATATTTCTCTCTACGTAGAAGGAATGCCTGTGGCATTTACCAGTTGACTTACAAAATTCATTTGGCAAGTTTCCCTCAACAGAAAATTCTCCAAATTTCCGAATCCACCCTTCATCCCAAGCTGTTAGAAATTTTTTTGAAATTTCCATGACAAAGTAATCTGAGTTTTCAATTAAGAGTTGGAATTCAATTTTAATGAAAAACTGTCGCTGGGTTTTTATTCATAATATGATAAATATATCTTGAAAATACAAAAAAAATTGGGTTTTTATGCTCAACGATGATTGGTTCGTCAATAACTGCTTGAATTTTGAATAGATTTCAAATTCAGGGAAATTATTGCCTGAATTTCCCACATTTCTCCAGTTTTCCAGTGCCATATGGGCCTGAAATGAAATTTAAATAGTTAATATCCAGAATAATCAAAAATTGAAAACACAAATCTTGAATTTTCAAGAGAAATGAAAATCTTAATGATCGAAGTATAATTAAAAATTGAAGCTTCAATTGAAAAATCGATTACCACGAACGCTGCAAATGTCAATTTTCTTGGACATTCAAGATAAATAATAAAAAAAACCGAGTAAACATTTTTAATTGAAGTATAATCGAAAAATTCGGACAACTTCTCCCCTGAAAATTCCATAAAATTCAAAAGAGAACATAAGCCAGGTGAGGCTCGCCTGTTCTGTATAGATAATTCAGGCAAAATTTCGATCTTTATCCCTCGAGAAATGTCAGCCATTGGAGGGGTGCGGGGCTTTGAGGGGTCTTTTTGAGGAGAAAAAATAGAGTTACATTTGATAGCCCCCGATACCCAACCCCTAGCTTTCGTGAGTTAAATTAAACCACGTGACGAACTTATCACGTGATGCGAAATCGAGAGCGCAGATTGGCCAGTGGTATCCACGGCATAAAAGCCGGTCTCGACAGATGTGGCAAATGGAGGGGCGGATTTTAGTGCATCTGACAAACACCACCGACAATCGGCCAGTATTCCAACGACTGTCGGCTCGCTCTTATCACGCCGTTCCTTATCGATACCCAAAATTCCCGAATAATCGAACTCACCACTTACTCGCCACCAAATTCGATTACCGCGAGAGGAATTACGCGCAACATAATTTTTCCTCGTTTCCACTGGCTTCAATTAATACTTCAATTAATATTTTAATTAATACTTCAATTAATATTTCAATTAATACTTCAATTAATACGTCAATTAATACAATTAATAATGAATTATCAATTATTAATAATACATCAATTAACCGAATTAAAATGGAATTGAAAAAATATTTACTCATTTACTCAATCGCTCGATCGATTTCAATAATCAGGGATCAATGGAAAATGGCGCGGATCGGAAAAATGCGGGGATTTGAGGGAAAATTATTAATATGAGAAATTCCATAATTCTCGGTGCAAAAATAATTGGGAAGTGCATGAACGATAGATATTTCTTCTTTTAATCACTTTTTTTTTTGAGGGCAGCTTTTTAAATTTACGATTCGGTTTTGTTTCGCTGGTTTTCAATTGTACCAGCGGTGATTACGAGAGTTGAATACATTCCCAGTATTTGATATTGCAACGTGGGTGATTCAAAGTGGCCAACGGCTGTTATTTATTTCACGTACAGTGACTGAGTGTTTGAAGGATTTCGCTTGGATTTTTACACAGAAAACCGGTGAACGTGTTTTGAACTCTGGATTGGGATTTACGGAAAAGCGGTGAGTGGTGAATGGAAAATAGTGGATTTAGTGGGCTTTTGAATTATTGTCTGTTAATTAATTAGGGATCTACATGATGATCTTTTTTCATTGTTTATTTTACTGATGGAACAATTTTTGAATTACAAACGAATTGTTGATTGAGCAAAATTATTGATTGATATTAACAATTTTCTGTCGTTGTAAGGCCCTAGTACTATTGGCAATAATAAATAATTCTTTATTAAATTATAAGAAATTAATTAACCGTGGTTAATTTGTAATTCTAGTTTAATAAATTCTAAGGAAAATGGCCATGAGTTGGTGCGATAATTACGGACGTTCTGCCCCCTTTTTAAATTTATAAAATTCATGAAACTTTATCAGTCATACAATAGTGATAAATTGTAAAGACTATACATTTATTCGCATCAATCCCATCAGTAATTTATCCTTCAAGTCAAGTTCTAGAAAAAAATTTGATAATCTGATAATTGTATTAATTTTCTATGAAATTGGTACAATTATTTTCTAATCGCGTTCCTGTAATAAATCTGTATTCTAAATTGTTACTGATACTATTTCGCGAAATTTGAGATAAACCTTTTTTAAAAATGGAATTGATTGGCGAATTCAGTGAAATCCCCAACAATTGGTCGCCATTGTTATCGTCAGCGATTTTGAAATTAACTGGTAATGCCATTAAATTAAATTGGCGAATAAATTTCCGTCATCAAACAGAAAATTGATTTAATACAGTACGTAATTAGTGTCGGGTGACTTTGATTAATTTTCCCAGTCGCTCGACTGATGGAAGGCAATTGCATTACCCGATTGAAATTGATCGACCAATCTATTGCATTCCAGTGAATACACGTTCGGAATTCGGTATTGAATATTGATTTCTGGTGAATGTTTCATTAAAATAGCTGATTCAAAATATGGAGGAGACAAAATTCTCTTCAGGTACAATCAACAATGTATTTGTTACCAGATAATTCACTATTTTGATGGAATATTAATTGAAACTCGGATGCATGTAATGGAGTCATGGAAATTCATGAAATTGCATATCATGTGCTCCGATGCCATTTCCAATTAATTAACAGAAATATTTATACACAATCGACTAAAGTAAATAGTGGAAAACAATCGAGACCTGAAAAATTACTCATTTTAATTAAATAAAAATCTTTATTATAAGTTTCTGTAATTTTTTTCTAAAGAATAATTCAATTACACAGGAAAAAAAAATTGTATATATATATATGTACTAAAATATACCTGAGAGTCAATTTCTAAATACATTTAACAAATTCAACTAATTATTTGTTTTTCTACATTAAAGTTATGCAAATATTTTTCAATTACTCGATAATCAGGGAAAATTATTGTAACATAATCAAATATAATTAAATATAACAACAAATTAGCGCGAATCTATTGGAAGATTGAATAAATCAAATAGTTGCTGACTTCAAAAACATTTTTGATTGTTTAAAACGTAATTTAATAAAAACAAGAATTTCTCGTCGCAAAGGAACGGATTTACTACATTTTCCAAAAATTTTCTCTCAATGCCTAAAAAGATAAATTTATTAAAATTATTTGTTTGAGTAGAATGAATCATTTCAGTTCCATAAATTATATCGATGAGCAATCCTCAATTTCGCTAATTAATTGGTCAATGATCAATTAGCGAGAAACAATGGAGTACATAGTCTTTGACAATTGGCAATCGTAAAAAGCTAATAGTCCAGACTGATGCAATGAAATTCCACTGACAGCTGAGTGCAATTCACCGTCGAAAAATCATTGAAGCGAATGCATATTGATATGAATTTTATGGTACACGCAGTGGTGAGAATTCCAATGCATCAGTTTTCCCAATACCTCAGCAGAATGCGTACAGAGACATGAGTTTTCGGTGGAAGTATGTCACGGATTTTGCTCGTAAGCCGGCAAAACCAACGGCTATTACCATTTTGCGGTGATTGTGGCTATAGAACGTCAGTACCATTACTATTAGATATAGAATCAGGTGGAGACAGGGTTTTCAACCCGAGAAAACAACACAAATGTTGCCACTGGTGTCGCATACATTCAACGACATTCTGCTTTGTGCACGACAAACGCTTTCCGAAAGGAAATAAACGTGAACAGCTATCGAATCCAATTACACTTTTCAAACCGGAAAAATGTCATTCCCACACTGTGTTACCATATCTTTCCCGTTTCAATACTACGTCTTTTATATTATACCATAAAACCTATGAATTAAACTCAATTACTCAATTTTTGTCATCTATTACTGTATTATTGAGCTCCATCTCAGAATTCCATTTGTTAAATTATGGGAAATTGTTGAAATTGTTTATTCTCTTCAATTGGGTTTTGTAACACAATTTTTTGTGTTATTTACATTACTAGAAGCTAAAAAAAATTTTTTATGTTTATATCAATGTAAATTGTTTAACAAAGCTTGAAATATGGAATAATCAAGAAATATGTGTAATTATTAATAACAAAATTGGAAAATGAGCTTAAACTACGCCAAATAATTCAGCAATGAAAAAAGTTGAAGTTTTTTCCAATAGAGGACTAAATAATTATATGGAAAATTGTGAAAAATCTGAAGAAAGTTGCTAAACCGCAGTTGAATAACTAGTTCAACAACTAGTTGCTAATGTTAAATGAAAAATATTCTGTATGTGATTGAAAGAACTTGTCGGCGGGTGCAAATTTGTTAAAAAAACGAATCCAAAGTCTTCAGAGAATTCTCCATCTTTATTCATGAGCATCTCTCTCGCTATTCTCTACTCGTGATGTTTGAGTGCCCGGGAAATGAAAAAGAATAAATCTGAATTTAATATAGCCGGTTCGTTGAAAATGACACGTGAAAATTAATGCTATCGCGATTCAAGTGCATGAATTATACACCCTGAGATGTTAACATGCAAGAATCAATAAAACATTCACCCTCTATCCTAGGTCATGTCATTATACTTATTCAACGATTGAGCGAGAACTCGAAATTCAATTATTTATTTCCTGGAAAAATAGAAAATTTAGCTCCTGTTCGTGACGTGTCGTTCAACTTGAGAAAATTGTACATGAATTATTCTTTACCCTGTGGATTTATCGTACAATCAGGTACTTATTCTTCACGACGGGGAATGAAAAAATAAAATTCTAATTCGTTTAGAAACAACTGATGAATCAGGGGACTGTAGAACTGCTCATCTGTAAAAAAATATCAATATTAATAATTATATATTACATATATGTAACGTATTGCATTTTATTATTACATATATTGTCTTTTTGACCGGAATATATGTGCGGATAATTAATATTGTGCATGTCTATCGTTTTTCTTGCGAGAACATTAATTTGTTAATTATAAATAATAACCTGCAGGACATTGGTGACATGTAATTAATTAACTCCTGATACATGATCTGGAATTTCCAAGAAATGGTAGTGTTCACTGAATTTAATAAAAAAAAATAAGGAAATGTGGAAATTTTCGAAATCGCAGCTTCCCTGAAATAAAGAAAAACGGGCTTTATTGATTGGGCATGTGTAAATCCAAGTTAATTAGCCATTAATTAACCAATTGCGCGGGCACATGTCTTAATGTAGTTGAGTTATCTTATAATTAATATCTAGAGGGATTAATCTGCTCGGCTACTGTGACACCTCTTATTTCCTTAAATTTTATAACATGCAAAGCCATTGAGCTCGGTATAAAAATTGGAGAATTCACTTTTACGACTGAAAAAGTGGGATGAAAGTTTTAACCACTTCTATGACTGACAAAAAGTGGATAAGAGGTGCTGGAGGGGAGGGATGTGGGTGAATTAAATTTACAATTTCCCGAGAACAGTGGAGTGTTTAACTTTGTACCCTGCGGTGCTCATGTGGCTCGACATTGTTTCTAATTATGTTGACAGAGAATGGAAAAAAGTACAATGAATATTTTTTTTTAATGTCACATTGAATTTATACAGTCTACAAATAACCATTATCAGCCTCGTTAGGGACGTTGATTAGAGTTATCAGATATCAGTCCCTCCGGTTGTTCGATAATCGGTCGTGAGCATTTGTATCTCAGGATGTGAATATCCGGCGGTTAATGTGTATTTTATTCCAATAAATACCAATCACTCGCGTCGGGCCAATGTTAACGTAAATAATCTAGAGTTGATATTGTTTAGTTTGTCATTCAAGAAGCAGAATTTCCTGAGAGGAGAAACAACTGGTTCTGTAAAAATGTTTAAAAAAATTTTTCTCTGATATTTTTTACTTTTAAACTTGAAAAATGTAAAAATATCAGCACTAACTCCTCATGAAAATAAATTCAATTTAGTGTTCCCTCCACCGAGTTTGAAGATTCGATCGATTAAGTTATTAATTTTCTGAAAATTCATTGCAGTGTTAATGTCGGCGCAATGTTGGCTCAATGTCGGCCCAGCATTGGTTCAATGTTGGTGCAATATTGGCACAAGGTTGGATAGAATAACTTTAGTTCCCCGATTTATCTGGATATCTCAAATAATATTTTCTTGGAAATTCTAAAAAAGAAGAAATAAAATTAGATAAAATTATTTTCTCTTTGAATCTAAAAATTGTGGAGTTGAATTATTTTTTAGCGAGAAAAATAACTCACACACTCCGATTTCTTCTCATCGCATCGTTTTCACTTTTAATATTACTTTTTTAATATCGTAGGAAATCACAAACAATATTCCATATATTTTTTTTTATGTTTCCAGGATGAGAGAGACCTGAACGTACGACGGAGAGGAGAGATCCAGAGGAAAAGCAGCCATCGCATGTAGCATTCCGGTATGATGTGAACAAATCTATAAAAAATATTTTTTAAAACTAGCACTTCGAGGCACATGCGAAAAAGTTTATTCGACACATCAAATTTACATGAATATATTCACATATATTTTTGAATAAATACTGGAATAAATACTTTTCCATTTTATAATAAAAGTACCTAACTAATAAATTAAGTTTAGCAAATGGAATTCCATTTTTTTAAATCAGAACTTCAAACATTTCTAACTGTCTTCTTTGTTTATTAAAAACTCGTTGGTTTAATTCTTCAACTTCTTTTTAACTTCAATTTTATTGAAGTTGAAAAAAATGAAATCAATGTATTAGTTATGTACTTTCATTCTGGAATGACGAAGTCTGCATGAATATATGTGTAATACATGTAATGCATGTACCTATATGTTTTTGTTGTTATTTAAACACATGTTATCTTAATTAACAAATAGAAAAAATTATATTCCAACAAAAAGCAGTTGCATAAGCTAAACAATGCGACGAAAAATGGTGACAATTTTTGTTGCATCTGGATTTATTTTTAAGACATAGTGAATAAGGCCCTGCAAGAGATCGATTACGAAGGCGGCGTGGATTAAATAATTCAGTCGATCAATTTCCCCTGAATAGTAATCGAGGAAACGCTCAGATGAAATAATCCGTGATCTTAAAATTTTAATGCGATTGAACCACTCTGGTGGACAGTTTATTTTCGGTATGACCCAAGTGTCACGGGAGTCTTGAAGGAAATAAAATCGTTCAGTCGGAACTAAAACCGAAAAACGAATTCCCATCGCGATACGACCGGCGGAAGTGCCAGATCAAATCATTTGAATTGAAATTCGATGAATCCTTTCCCACATTTTTCCTTTTTTCTCACAGACAAGCATGAATAAATGGCAGTCATCTATTAATAAATAGAGTACTTACGTTGTTCACACCACGTCCTAGTCCCACACCTATTTAGCATTAATGCGAAAGTAATGTCGTGTGAAGTGTCATGAAGGACAAGATTGTACGAACACTGTTAGAAAATTATCTTTTTGATTGAAAATAAAAGCGAAATCAAAACGAAAGTCTAGAAATTAACAAACAATAATTTATAGGGACGCGGATTAAAAATTGGACTTCTCGAATTATATTGAGTGGACATAACATAAAAAATTAAATAAATATGTAATTCAATTGTCGCAAATTACTAGAACCCCCCAAATGAAAAATTAAAATTTGAAATTCGTCGCTTGCTCTCTAATCCATTTAATGTCATAAGAATTCTGATTTTTAAACACGTGTTGAAGAGGCGTAAGTCATTCTTTTATCTATAGATTAAATTTCAACCTATAAAATTTTTAAATAAAAATTTTTTATTCATACATGTTCACCAAAATTCCAAAAGCAAAAGCAAAAAAATCCCAAACAAGTATTTTATCAGCAACAGCCATATTTACCTATCAATTCCAATCAGTACATGATAATAAAATTTAACCCGGGAATATTGACTCTGAAGATAAGGGGGAATATTCCCAGTGGTATTCCACTGCCACGAAATGTCATCCAACCATTTACCTAGAGTATCAAATGCAAGCGACAACTCGTAAGTTCGTTTCATAATTGATTGAATAGGCAGTCTCAATGCCAATAATTGTCTTGTACATCAAACCACTTATTATCCAATCGATCGGAATTCCTATTAGAGTCCACATTCCAAACGAATACCCGAGACTGTTTCCCCATTCCCTCGTTCAAGTTTCCCAAATTCTCTAATTTATTTAAACATTCAATCTAACATACTATTTATAAAAAT